GCATCCACGACTCCTGCTCCTCGCAGGATTCGAACCCGGGGCCTTCGGTATCGTAGGCGAACGCCTTACATCGGACCACTGGGTCGGCATCCAACGGTGTTAATGTCTAACTCTGATTGATCTAGGAATTTTGCGTGACCTCACCCATTTGTCTTCGGTGGGTAGTTACTGCCTACACCCGACAGGGTTGAACTCCTCCATTGGTCACGTCTTCTTCTCAACTAGAACTCCGAGAATTTCCTCACGATCAGAGTTCGACATTAACACCAATGGGTGCTAGCCCAACGGTCCGATGGTAAAGCGTTCGCCTACAATGCCAAAGGTCCCGGGTTCGAATCATACGAGGTGAGGGAGTCTTGGATGCGCACTGCCACTGATGAGTCCCATACCAGGACGAAACGGCCGTCTTTCAGTGCTTCCAGGTTTCTAATAGCGGTCTAACAATGATTGATTGATGATTTCAAATAATTCTATACTTTGAAATCGTGTCATGCTTTTTGATAATCGATATTGTACTTTTCTTCTGTTTCGACTAGATTTATTCTCTGTATGCTAGAATTTTTTTTCAGAATCAATATCATACTAACAATATAATTGTGATTATTATAAAAGAGCTGTTTAGAAAAAAGACAGAACATAACATAGGAATAGATTTAATTATCATTTTAAACTACATGAACATTTAGACGTGAAAAACAATTAAACTTCATGCATTTGTATCGATCGTTTGAATAAAAATCATTGATAGTTAAGACTTGAATTGATCAGTCTCATTTAGCATACATGAATCTTGTGTATATAGGTTGCCTCTATATTGTCATTATATCGCAAGGATAATTAGGAAATATGGATGATCGCTAGCAGATGAATCCTAATCTAGACACGTCAGCTGAATAAACCAACACCTCAGAGTTGATGTTAATTCCGGGACTTGAACCCATAACATCCAACTGACAAGTCAGTCAGACAGTCACTAAGTTACAACATAGAACTTCGAACATGAAAGCTTAAGTTCACATTTACATAACCTCCTCAACTGATGAACATTCACTACTTTATCTGCTGATATGTCATCCTTACCTACTACCGACTTCCTAACAACCAAATTGCTTCCTCGGTCGTCCCAGGATACACAAGCAATGCTTCGGATACATCTATGGTCGAAGAATAATAACCTACGAATGTCCTCTACTCTTAACGGTCATGTTTCGCATCCGTATAGTAGGACGAAGCGAACTGTTGCATAGTACACTCGTCCTTTAGTCAGCAAACCGATATCTCGCCTGCGCCATAGGTGACGCAGGTTGGCGAAAGCCAATCGAGCCTTCTGTATCCGAGCTGAGATTTAGTCAGTCACCATGCCGTCAGCACTGATGAGACTCCCAAGATACATGAAGCGGTCTACACGTTCGACTACTTCACTCCCTATCACTAGTTCAAGTGCCGATGCAACCCAATCCTAAAGCAACATTTTGCATTTCGAGGGTAAGAACCGCATCCCGAACATGCTTGCGTTGTTGCTTAGGGTGGTCAGAAGACTCTGCGTTTTGTCAGCGTCTTCACCGAATAGAACTATGTCATCGGCATATTCTAGATTAGTAAGCGATCCTCCTGGTGGAAGGTCTACTCCTGAAAATTCAGACGAGGATAGGGTTACGTCCAGCAGCATGTCTATGACTAGATTAAAGAAGAATGGAGAGAGTGGACATTCCTGACGGATACCACTTGGAGTAAAGAATTCCAATGACAGTTCTCCATGGGCTCTCACTCGACCAGCAGTTTTTGAGTAGAGAGCTTGTATAAGGTTAATGTACTTCTTTGGCACACATTTCAATGACAGACTGCCACAGAACTTCACGATACACAGAATCAAAAGCCGCCCTAAGGTGCAGGAAGACAACTAATCTCGGACGCCTATATGTGTGTCTGTGTTCCTGGACTTGTTGTAGAGTGAAAATGTGATCTATAAAGCCAAGTCCAGGTCTGAAACCAGCCTGGTTTTCTCTAGTCTGCTCCTCACGAGCACTAGTTAGGCGTCTAAGTATAGTCGAGTCTAACAATTTAGAAACTATATTGGTTAGGCCTATTACCCTGTGATTGTCACAAGAGGGATTTTGCCCTTTCTTATAGATTGGGACAATCAGCGATTGAGACCACTTGGATGGGATTATGTCCAGTTCCCAGATTCTACCTAATATTACTGTTCTGTTTAGTCGGACAGCGCATAAGCGACTGTCTGTCGGGATCCAGTCTAAGAGAGTCAGTTTTACCCTAGGACTCAATGCTAAGCCTACACCAGCAAGGCCTCGGGAAGCAGCAGCAGGGCTTCCAGATACACGAAGAGTGAATTCAGCTAATTCTTTATTTTGACATGATGAGACTCACCATACAACAATGGCGCGAGATTCTAAAGTCCTAGCCAGTTACCCTATTTTGAACTATCTTTCAGAAGACCAGGGATAACGTTTCGTGAACTCAAATCGTTTGCATTAGCGGTGCAGAATGATTAAGGGATGTGAGAAGAGTTAATCGGGAAGATAAAAGAGATGTTAGGGGATGCAGGAAGGATTTGTTTGTGATCAATTCGGTCTCGCGTGCTGTTACGGGTATGAGGGCGCTTGTCACTTCCCAGCTGCTCACACCGTGGAAAGGTGTTTCTTGAGGAACCTGAAGACGAAGTTAGATTAGTATTGGTCTTAGAGACCTGTGAAAGTGACCGCAGAGTCCAAGGGACAACTGCTTGAAGCCGGTCACGCACAGCCTTTTTATGAAAGCCTTTAAGAGTATTAGCTCCACTCTTTTTAAAAGCCCTTAGTGGGCAGCCCTTACCACCGAAGACGGAAATCCGTGAGGTAGGGTGAGGTGTGACATTTTTAGGGTCGACATTTTCTAACCCTTTCTTCCTTGTGAGAAGGCAACATCGCTGAAGATGCTGGTTGTCCGAGGGAAACACCTTACTGCTGTCACACCTCTTTGCAGTTAGTCAACAGTAGGACTTCGCCCTCAGACCTGGAGTAGCTGCTTTCAGTCCCATCGTTATCCAGTCTAACTGACTGGCATGGTAGAACCTTCAGGAACATATGTTCTAGTCAATATAGCCCGGTCGGGTCATCACGATAGGCATGCTCGACCACCACGACAAGGTAGCTGCTATGGTCGGGATCCAACTGACATGTTATAAAATGAACTAAACTCGAGCCTCGGATTCCATTGTTAGCCCCTGACCCATCTCTGTTTGTTAAATCTAACTTCACTGGTGAAAACCTGAGACGAATATGAACTATTTATACCATATATAGTGTTCTTTAGTGTAAGTTGAATGATTTATCTTGTAATAATTACTTTATAGAATAATATTCACTGTTCTAAAAAATACTAATATCCTTTTATTATTGTCTAATAAAGTAATTAAAAAACTTTACAATTAATTTATGTCGATCAGAAAATACAAGAAATGATAGTCATTAAGTCTGAATTACCAAGAGATAAGAATCTAATAAGAACAAGGTAGACTCATAAATAAAACACTTGTTTTAAAATTTTTTTATCACGTTAGTTTGGATTCCTAATTCTCCTTAAAGTATCTGTTTACAAGTCAGTCAACCAGTCAGTTACAACGGAGTACTGTGTACTTATGTGCACCTATCAGTTCAAGTTGCCATACAACATTAGCACACAGAGATCGAATCGTCAGTTGAAATTCCAATGCTGTAAAGATAGTAGAAGTATTACTAGTTATGGAAATTCAGAAGATTAGAATCTGAGAGATGACAAGTAATGGATGCGTCTGCTCCATTGTAAATGATTTTGAGTTATGTCATTCAAATTCTCTAACCATCAGTTACTATAATCCCGTGGACCCAAACCAGGTAGTGTACACTTACCAGAATGACACAGTTCACTTTACAGTGAATTCAGAGATTTTTGTCATGTTTTGATCTGACCAACTCATAGCTTTCTTCCAGACTACACTTATACCACAAAGCGTAGCTCGTCGAGGCAATCGGTGGTTAGGCATACGCAGCACATGTCCTAAAAACATCAACTGATGAAGTTTACAGTGAATCATGTACGTCATATGAAGTCAAATCCATGGCGTAAGTGTTGGAAGTTCATCATGAGACCTTAAAATCCAAGGATCAATTCCAATGTGGTTTTGTGCTTAGCTTATCTGTGACAAGCTGCTCTGTTTATTACCACCTGATTTCTATCATAACCGTCTAACTTAGATTGATACTTTAATCAGTATAACTGCCAATAATTCCCATTGACCAATTTACTGATTATCACGGAGTTAAGCGTTAGTCGATTATGATTTAATCAATTAGTTTTATTATGATTATGAATCATTGTATTGCTATCTTCATCAGCTAACATGAATAATTTTCTACATAAGAATAATATGCATTACTTGTAATTTGTGTGTTTAACAAAATGTATTATGGCTTTACTGTTTTTTGATTTTCTGTCTAGTGTTAAACATTTTTTTTTCATTTCAACTTTAATAATCCAGTAGTTTTGTAGTGTACAACGAGATCAAGATCATATGAAGTATATGTGTTTAGAGAAGACAAAGTTTATGTAAAAAAAATATGTACACATAATCTTCAAACATCCATTTTTCATGCAAGCAGGTTTCTAGCTACCTTCTCACACACCTATTCTAGTCTTCAATACACTCTGATCGTATATATATATATATATATATATATATATATATATATATATATATGCTCCTCTCTGGTAATAACTTTTAAGTGAAATTTTTAGTTGCATACTACTTATATTCTACCTACTAGTCAGTAACATCCACAACAGTTTATATCAAGAACTAACTATACCTAGGCTAATTTCCAAAAAGAACAATCGAAATTCTATTCATGTTGTTCTTAAATTAATAAATTTAAAATACTACTCATAAAAATAAGTACTATTATCAGTATTATTGAAAATCAAAACAAAACCAGGAAAAAAAAATTAATTCTTCTTTTTAAACTTACCATGTGTTGAAATTAGAATTGTATGAATTAAAATAAAGCATAATATAATTTTGTAAATCCATTTTAACATTAAAAATTTTATTGAACATTGACTATACATTGTTTTAATTGTTGTGGTTGGTGTTTTGTTTTGTTTTGTTTTGAATAATTTTAAATTTGTACGTAGACAATACAATACAAAATTCAAATTAATCTTTCTACAAACTTATTCTGTTTAATTATCCGTTTATTTGTTTGTTCGCTTGTTCGCTTGTTTTAATGCGTTCTATTTTCGCACAGTTTAAATTTTTTCCTTAAAAACTGATAATGAAGTATCAAGTTAAATTCATTAAATTCATTATACTAACAATCCTTTGATAATGATTTGTTCAATTGTTAAGAACCAATTAGAAAAAAGGATTATGGTTATATTAACACCTATAACGATATATGTATATATATAATTATTCACTCAATCATTCATTCATTTTTCATTGTTATAATTATTATTAACTTAATTGAATTAAATATTTGATTAAATTATGTGTTAATAATTAACAAGGTTTATTTTGTGTGTGTGTTATCTAGCTGGTTTCGTTTTTTTTTCTCATGCAATAAAATTGAATAGATGAGTCAAACTAGATTTTGATTGGTCAATATATTTGTGTGTGTGTATAAGATGATGAGTTAATCTGTCTGTGTGGTTTAACTGTGTGTTTCGATGTTCAATTTGGAAATGACGCATACAACATGAACAAATGATGAGTCATGTTTGTTTGTTTGTTCTTTTTTTGAGTTGCAATTCGCCTACTTTTATTATTATCATTATTATTTTAAGTGACTCAACAAGCACACCCAACATCGAAGCGGCATCCACGCATCTCCCAATTAATATTGGCGCACTTACGATTGAGGAGATCAGTATGGCCATCAGAAAAATCAAGAACGGCAAAGCAGCAAGACCAGACAACATTCCAGCAGAGGCAATCAAAGCAGATGTAAAAGCAACTGAGAAAATATTTCACATCCTCTTCAAGAAGATTTGGGATGAGGAACAAGTACCATCAGATTGGAAAGAAGGATACCTGAACAAAATACCAAAGAAAGGCGACTTGAGCAAGTGTGAGAACTACAGAGGCATCACTCTTCTTTCAATACCAGGCAAAGTCTTCAACAGGGTATTGTTAAACAGAATGAAGGACTTCGTAGACGCCCAACTTCGAGATCAACAGGCCGGATTTCGTAAGGATCGATCATGTACAGACCAAATTGCTACTTTACGGATCATTGTGGAACAATCAATTGAATGGAACTCACCACTCTACATCAACTTCATCGACTACGAGAAAGCATTCGATAGCGTGGATAGGAAAACACTGTGGAGGCTTCTTCGTCACTATGGTGTGCCTGAGAAAATAGTCAACATCATACGGAATTCTTATGGTGGATTCAACTGCAAAATCGTACACGATGGACAGCCATCAGACTGTTTCGAAGCGAAGACTGGTGTCAGGCAAGGTTACTTACTCTCACCCTTTCTCTTTCTCCTGGTCATCAATCGACTGGATTATGAAGACGTCGACGTCTGGATGGAAGCACGGTATCAACTGGACAGTTAGGACGCAGCTGGACGATCTGGACTTCGCAGATGACCTGGCTCTTCTATCGCACACTCAACAACAAATGCAGGAGAAGACGACCAGTGTAGCAGCAGCCTCTGCAGCAGCAGTAGGTCTCAACATACATAAAGGAAAAAGCGAAATTCTCCGATGCAACACAACATGCACCAATCAAATCACTCTTGATGGAGATGCCTTGGAGGACGTTAACACCTTTACCTATCTGGTCAGCATCATCGACGAGAAAGGTGGATCCGATGCAGATGTGAGGGCGCGGATTGGCAAAGCGAGGGCGCGGATTGGCAAAGCGAGGGCTTCATTTCTTCATTCGAACAACATTTGGAACTCCAAACAACTTTTAACCTAAACCAAAATCAGCATTTTCAATAGAAATGTGTAGACAGTTCTACTGTATGGAGCGGAAACATGGAGAACTACGAAAGCCATCATCCGGAAGATACAAGTGTTTATGAACAGTTGTCTACGCAAAATACTTCTGATGATTTCTGTGAAATCTCGAATCTATGATAGATACACTTACTAATGAGTGTTATTTCGTTCACAGTCGGTCTTTTATTTTAATTAGCTTGATTAAGGTATACAATGTTTACTTACGTCTTCAATTATTTATCACAACAATCAATCACAACAGTCAAAACTCTTTTAAGATTTAATTGAATTTGAATCGGAAGAACAATGGATTGCTGAAGAAATAATGATAATATTATTATTATTATTATTAATGGTAGCCATTTAACTTCGGATTTCAAGGACCATGGTCCATAACATTCGACCATTACTACGGACTAAACAAATGTGATACTGGTCACAATACATAGTGATGATTTCATTGGTAATATTTCAGTCTTTTCAACCTATGTATTGACACATTTGGTTGACCCCATGTTTGATACACTATTTCCCTCCTCATTATGGTAAATACATTTTTGTGATGTATTCCAACTAGGATGAAACTTCGATTGTAAAAAACAGTTTTTTTTGCAAACGACTTTCAACCACCGAATATTTAGATCTACTGTACGTAAATGTTGAGTCTTACTTCCACTAAAATCCCTTCTTAGGAAAAGAGATAGACATAGGAATTGACAGTGTCAAAAGCTTTGGAGACAGACAGAAAAAGAATGAATGACAATTGGGTACAACAGCTGAAAAGGAAGGCACAGGATAGAGAAGTTGAAGAATGCTAGTCAATAATGACCTATGTTTCATTAGGGATAACAGGCTCAAGTAAGTAATGTCTAGTTTTATTTTAGGTCACCAGCTAAATTTTCAATTTGATCTGTAGTGTGTCAATTGACTGCGTGTTCTTAAGCTCGGTAATTAACTCGTTCAGACAATCGTTGCTAAGTAGCGTCTGACGGTTTATAAATCAGAAGATGAATTCGTAGTAATGAATACGTTTATTCGGGACACACCACAAAGCGAAGCGGAGAAGCAGTGAATAAAACGAATGAAGCGACGTGAACTGGAAGAAGGCTTTTGAGCCAACTCCATGGGTTACAATGCGAACGAATGGGCGAAGAGAATTGGAGAAGGCAAAGAGCCAACCCACTGAGACAGAGCATGACTAAGAATATATATTCAGACCAAAATAAGACAGACATATGACAAGTGAAATAGGTATGCACACACATGAATAAAAGCGACGAATGATTGACAAGGTCAAAATCAAGCGAGACAAGTCATGTGAGTTCATGGGAGGGTTAAGAGATTAACATTAAAGAGAAAAGGATGAGTCAGCGCGTAGGCGTAAGCAATGTTCAGTCGTACAAGCTCATAGAAACCAGATAATAAAAAATAGCAATGGTACATATGGGTTAATGCTATACGAATAGCTTGGTTACATAAGTTAATCGAAAGGCGTGAACAAATTAAATATGAGCGAACTCAAGTTTATGTGGAGGCACTACAGATCCATTGAAAAACATGACATTGGCTTCTTACACTACTCAACAAGCAAATCGATTCGTATATTGGGTTCATTTGATTTTTGGCAGAATCAACTAAGTTCAAAATACTCCTAGTCAGTATGATCTAATTATATATATCACTCACTGTAATGTTTGTAATCTTTTCTAATCGAATAAATGTACCTTGTTCTAAATTTCAATTTGGATTAGAAAATTGTCGGTATCTACATACATACATACATACACCTAATTAGTCTTGCCATAAATTAAATCTACTACAACAAACAGGTGGTGTACACTTATTTTCCATTTCAATCATTAATTAAAATTTCTTATCTTTAAATTGTATGATAATTATTGTTAATTGTTAGTATTTAAACTCTTTTTTCTTAAAAATTGAACAGTTGTTTAAACTATTTAACAGATCATAAGTTTCAAGGTTAGTTTATATACACAAAATTTGAATAATTCTAACAGGTGTAGAATTTTTAATCGACTATAAAGTAACAAGTAGAAATGTTCGAAATTCAATTCAGATATTATATAAATATTAGTTATTGTTATGCTCGTCGCTTACTATGCTTGAAACTATTACGAGTTCAACTTAGTCGATAAATGAGAACAAGACAATGAACCAGTGACGCAATAGACAACTCTGATCAGTTGACCTCAAACTAGCTGACGAAAAAGTCGTGATATGGAGTAGAAAAGGGTATTCTACAAACACCCAGCAAATACAATGATCTCAAGTACACAAATCACGTTTATTTATACATCATAGAAACGTCCTTGGGAGAGTCATAAAAATAGCACACCAAAATAACACAGTAACCAATCATAGATAAGGATTTTGCTGGTGGGAAGTGTGATCTCAAGGTCAACCGATCAGCCAATGAATAAAATCCAAAACTAAGACATTTATCGAGCGAGTTCTGAGTATCTAACGTCCCCAACAGTTATATTTGAAAAAAGGAACATTCAGATGCTTTCTCGTAGTTAATAAGGTTGATGTAGAGTGGTGCATTCCATTCATTTGATTGTTCCACAATGATGCGTAGTGTGACGATTTGTTCGGTACACGATCGATCCTTACGAAATCCACCTTGGTGATCTCGAATTTATACGTCTATGAAGTCCTTTATTCTGTTTAACAACACTCCGTTGCCTGGTATTAAGAGAGTAGTGATGCCTCTGTAGTTCTCACACTTGCTGAGATCTTCTTTGGTCTCTTGACGAGTTGTCCTTCTTTCCTGTCTGTTAGTACTCGCTCGTTCTTCCTCCCCAATTGTGCTGACGAGAGCATGGAACATTTTTGTAGTTACTGTTATGTTTGGACATTCCTCTTCAATTGATTGCAGCCTCTTTTAGAATTGATCTTTATCACCCTCATTGTTATCTATGGTGGGCGCACAGCACTGAACGACATTCATTGTAATCCTTTTCTTCTTTGTTTAGAAGGAAGATTTGATGATTCTGGATTCATAAGGTTTCCATTCTGTAAGTGCTTTGTAGGCTCCTTTCAACAGCATCACTGCAACTCCTTACTCTTCGTACCCAGAGTACAACAGTCTCTCTTCTGAAGCTAATTCTCGTTAACCAGCCTATGTCTAATAGGTTTCACTTAATCCAACCACTATAAGATTGTATATATATATATATATATATATATATATATATATATATATATATATATATATATATATATATATATATATATATATATATTAATTTGCATTACGTGGTTGTGAAGATTGTTAAGTTACACATTTTTGAAACCATGTATCGATCAATGTTAGACCACCATTCGAAACCTGGAAGCACTGGACGGCCGTTTCGTCCTGGTT